GTCGGGGCCGGGTCATCGCCCGCAGGGGCACGCGGCCGCCTGGCGTGAGCGCGCTTAACCGCCCCCCCCGACCCTTTAAACGCTGCTGCCCGGGGCCTTTGCCACGCAGCGCAATTACCGTCACGTGCCGCCCACAGGCCCTAGCGCGCCCCACCAGCCCGTGGGCGGCTCCTCGCCCACCCCACGCCGAGGGTGTCCCCTCTGCTGTACTGCGTGTAGGACAGACAGCTGCGAGTTCTTACACGTGCTTCTGGATTTCTCCTTCCCTGGCCGCGGCTTTTTTTCCAGGTTATGAGGTCAGAAGAAAGGAATCGCAGTTAGGGATCTTTATTCAGTATTAACCTCATAATAGCCTTTCCTTGAGCTTACTACTTAAATCCTTATTTCAATCTACTGCTAGAAAAAGCTGGGCCTGGTCTACATTAGGTCTGAGTAGGCTTTTTGCTTTTTTTTTTTTTTTTTTTTGGAAGCAGTTAGGCATACAAATATTTTATACTAGTATAGCTTATATTTTGCTTTCCAACCCAAAATAAGTTTTACTGATTTAAGCATTTAGATACAAATATAATTACATTCACCCTAGGGTATTTTGGTCCCTTTAAGTACAGGAGTATTATTAAAGTGACACAACTTTCTATTGTAGACAAGCCCTTACATGCATGCTTAATGTTAAATGTGAGTAGCCCTATTGAAGTAAAGTGCTTGAAGTTAACTGTGTAAGTCTTTTCCAGGACTGGGGCCTTAATAACTAAATAGTACATAGCTTATGTAGCTAATGTTACTATGAATACGTGTTCTATCCTATTAATTATATACCTGTAACTTTTATTTGTTTGAATTGCAGTGAAAACATCAAATAACAATCGAGCTCAGAGAATAAAGTACTAAAAATATTGTTTCGTGTAGAAGACCATGATAACTGTGACGAAGATATTATTGCATCACTTCGTTTTCTGATACAACTTTTTTGCAGTAAATTGCTTTTTTTATTGTGCTGCAGCTTGCATTAAAGTGTGCACAGAGAGGTAAGTTAAAAAACAAACCATATAAATAGTCAAAAATAAATTACAGTTTTTAAATTTAAAGGTCTATTAGAACTTATGAATTTTTTCTCCTTTTTTACAAAAAAATGGACGTTTGTTCTCTTTAAATTGCAGAAACTTGCTGATGCACATTTTGCTAACTTACACTCATAATTTGTGCAAAATAGCAGTGCTCTTTATCTCTTAGAAAAGAGTTGTGTGCTTTATAAAACTTCCCATATTTTTAAAAATTGGTGAATTTCCAAGTGAAGTGCTGATCCTGAAAAGGTTAAAGCATGTGAATGACTACCCATTTGAATAGTCCCACTGAAGTCAGTGGGGAGTGCTCAGCTGATATGAAGTTAAATATGTATAAGGGCTTGTCTTTCCATGAAAATTAATTTACATTAAGGCAGGTGGTGAGCACAGTAGCTGTTTCTGAATAACTCCAAATGTATACAAGCCGTAAGACTTTGCAGTACTGGAGCTGTAACGGTTTTCAAACTGATTACTATTGTGATTTACTAAACTCACTATCTATTGATCCCACTTTATGGTAATATATTACAAAATCCGTTATGTGCAATAATAGAAGTTGAAATTTCAGCAATCAAACATTTATTACAATGTACTGAATGCAAAACATTTGCAATAGACTTAACATGTAAAAAATTTTTAAAAGGAGGGAAAGTGCTAGATGCACTGACTTGTTCTTATCCCCAACATTGTTTGACTAGCAAGGTGATTGAAAAGAAAATACATAGTAAATAGCTATTTTCCTTAAAAATTGTGCAGAATAAAAAATTGTGCAGAATAAAAAAGCTGAGGGGAAGAAGCATTGAAATGACTGAATAAAGTTATAGCCATGCCAGCAGCCTTTGGATGCTATTAATGAGCATCTTAAATTCAGAGATGCTAAAGTTAGTCTATTAAGAGAGTTAAATTTACATACCAAGCTGACAGAAGGGGATAGCTGAAAAGATACAGGAGGGGAAAAAACCTCCCCCTGCTTTATCTTATACTGTCTTGCTGCTTTTCCTTTTACAGCAGTGTCTTACATATGTACATTATATCACTCTGCACTCTTCTATTGTTCTGTATCCTATACCACCAACCAGGACACCATTGAATTTGACCCAAAGAGAAGAAGAACCAAGAAAGCCTCAAAAGCCCATATGCTTGTTGGCTTGCAGGGGGGAAACAACCAACAACAGACCCCACCTAGCTATCTTTTTAAGCTTTGGGTGATGGTGCTCACTTTCCTGCTTTTAAACTTTTCCCCCACCAACATAATAGTATGGTGTGGGTTATATATGGAAATCCTTGAGCCAGTAGTGGAATAGGAAGTAAAACTCTTAACTGGTTTACATGATAGAGAAGTTGAACAATAATTAGTGGTTTTGGTGAATAGAAAGGTGTGGGCAAGCTACGCCCAGGTCAATCTGTATCATGATATGATGCAGTGATGATTTGATTCACAAGTCATCAATGGTTGCCAGTAGCTATAGCCTGCATAACTCTATTAAGGTGAGACTTTTGCAATGCAAATTTGAGCTCTGCAATCTTTAAAAATTCCCCAAGCTAAGTGTCATAAATCAGATTTAAGACATGGTGAATAAATGATGACTGTGCAGTAGCAATTTTTTTAAATTGTTTTTCATAACTTCTCCCCCCCCCCCCCTTTTTTTTTAAATAAAGGATTGGAATAAATTGTGAAGCAGTGCAGCATTTCTTGTGAAGAAAACTTCTGAACAGTGGCAAATCAGGTAAGATATCTGGTAAGAACAAGTCCTGGAGGGATACTAACCCATTCCCCAATTCTTGGCAAATGTAAAACTAAAATAGTTTATCTGAGTAGGTGGATTCTAGCCCTGTGCTTCCTTCAGGTAAATTGCTAATTAATGACTCTTCCCCTGCTCTGGAAACCTAACTATATCAACTGAAGCAGGTTGGGAAACCTGACATGAAGCATTGTTTAAAAGTGAGCTCTCTTGGAAGGACTTGCTTGTAATTCTCCTTGAGAGAGAAATATGCAAGTGCCACTAGAAGTAGAACATTAATGTCCGTGTAAGTAAAATGTATTGAGAAATATAAAATGTATTAACTCTTGGAGCCCAAAGGATGAGAATTCTCATTCTTAAGATTCTAAGGTGAGGAATGTGACCTGCATTAACTTTGCTATTGTCTCCCTCCTCCTCTTCTCTGTAGTTGCCCTACTTCCTTCCTTTTTTTTTTTTTTTTTTTGAGTGAGGCATGCATTGTGCCTGTTTCTTCTTTACACGTTGTCTGGGCATGAGTTCCCCTGGGCTCCAGACTTGAGTCTGTCCCTGGTCTGTTTTTCCCTTACATCCCATCTACCAACCTTCTCTTGGTTCTTGGCCTGAGCGAATGACTGACAACTAACTGCGAGGAGCGGTGTCTCGCAGCAGGAGAAAGGGAAGAGCTCCCAGCAAAAGAGGGGTAGGGCCAGTTGAGACTCATTCTAGGCAAGAGTGATGACCTAGTTGTGCCTTTCGGTTACCTCCCCTCCCCCCCCCAAAAAAATGCTTCTAGAATGCTCTAGCACAGTGTTTCTCAAATTTTTTGATGCCAGTGACTAGATTGCTATTTTCCTAAAGTATAAGGAAGATTTCAGTAACCAGCAGTGATCCACAGACTAGTAACTGCAAATCCTGCAAAACACCTAGTCACAGTCCTGTCCTTAAGGTGATGAACATTTAGGATTGGCCAGTATCTAAGGGCTAACTGCTTTATTTTATTTTTTTTTTAATTCCAAGAGGAAGTTTTCAAGCCTTTAGCCAGCTTGACAAGTCAGGGGAATATGGCTGTTCATGCAATCCTTTGGCTCTGTTATTTTTGCCAGGCGTTTTCCCCAGAGGCTGCTTTCCCTCATGGGAGGCGGAGGGAGAGATGGGACCCCAGGCTTCTTTCAAGGGCAAGGTGAATATGGGGAAATCACCTGTGGTGATGGGGAGTGGGTGGGAGGAATTTAAACGAGACTAAGTACTATAAAACTTTTTTCATCCCAGCAGGATACAATGGGAAAGCACAAAAGAGAATCTCTACAAACCTATAGCTGGTGGAGAGGATCACAGAAAAAGCGAAAGAAAAAGAACAAAATGAAAGCAGGAAGAACAGACTATGTTAGTCTCCTTAGTCTTCCTATCAGGTACAAACCCCTTGAAGTAGATGGATTGTTATGGATAGGGATTAGTTCTTTCCATCTAAAATACATAGTGAGCAGTATGAACACTTTGAGATTCTTAAATGGAGGTTCTTATGTAAGTGTCAATCATTGTTTATGCTAGTATATTTTGTAAAAGTAATAGTCTTTGTAATGAGGCTTCATTCAGTCACTGTGTTACTAAATCTTTGAGATGTGAGTTACACCAATAGTGCATATTATGGGATTTGAGTTAACTTTTTGTTTAGTATTGAGATCCATAAACTATACATTTATTGCTGATATTTTTATCACTCCTCTACTTTATTCTGAGAGAAAGTAAAGTTCCATTTTTTTTCAAAAGATTAATTGATTTGGACAGCTGCACTCTTTTTTAATTTTTTTCCCCCCAAAGTAGAAATAAAACCTGTTTAGGTAGAGCAGTAGGCTGGGCTCATCTTCGAGCACATTACAGCACAGTAGTTGTATTTCAAGATTTGGACTAATCCTGCAAATGCATACAAGTGCAATGATTGCTACTGTGTGTAGAGCTATAGAAGACCACCGTGTTTGCAGGATGAGTCACAGTTATTTGCTATATACAGTACCTAATTAACAGTTTTCTCATCAGTCTTAATATTTCAGTTTTCTTGTAGTTTAATTTGTTTCGTTTTAATACTTTCTTTAGGCCAGAGTTCTCAATAGTTGTAGGAGAGTTAACTCCTGAAGTGGATGATTTTCAGCTCTTTGACTATTTCGCGAAAAGGTACCCTTCTTGCATTGACTGCAAAATAGCCACAGACCTACTGGGATATTCCAGGTAATTTTTAACTAATCAAAATGCTGCTAATAAAAGGAGAGTAGACAGTTATTTGTAAACCACTTTGTCAAATCTGTATCGTGTTTCTGTATTTTCTCCAAGACAAAGAATGTAGAACAGAGGTTAGAATCTTAAAAACAACATAGTATTAACAGAAAATTTTGTGCTATTTTAAGTCTTTCTTTGGATTAGACACTTAATAGGTTAAATTCTGACTTCACTGTGTATATATTTTCATGCCTGAGAATTTATCTGGGGAGGCAAAGGATATGTATGTTGAATTCATGGGACTCTTTTTTTTTTTCATGCACAGCAGTGCACCTATGCATAATCAGTTGCTGAACTGAGGGATAAGTAGTATCCCCATTTAATGGGGGTGGGAAGGAAGTAGACAAGAAGCCATGTAAATTGAAGTCCAAGAACTTGAACCTGCTTATAATAGCAACAAAAATGACAGAGTTTGTGACTTATACAATGATACCCAATAAATCAATAGCTGAGCTGAGACTACAACTTTTTGTTGTTGGTTCCCTGTACAGCTCACAGTATAATTTTGGGGCACAGAGTACTGAGTGAATTTTTTTAAAAGGCTAAGTATTGTATATTGATAGTGCTTGGTTAACACTGATACTATGGATAGTTCAGTTGCTATGTACTTCATTAATATCAAATCTGTCTAGATACACAGGAAACTTGAAACTTGCTCTGTTACTGACAGCTGGTTGCAGTTAGGTCAAAAAGCACATAATTAATCTAAGTTTGAGCTTTGAAACAGCAGTTAGCATGAGTGTCTAAAAACTAAATTTAAAAAGTAGAAAGCAAATACATAGTGTGAGCCATGGTAGCTACAATGTTAAAGATTTTTGTCTGCAGAAGAAAACACTAAATTGATTTAACTCTTACAGTGTTGTTGGTCTGTATACTGGAATTAATACATTCTCTACATTTTGGATTTTTTCAGGGGGTATGGCTTTGTCAGATTTGGTGAACAAGGTGATCAGATGAGAGCACTGCAAGACTGCCAAAATGCACCAGGTCTAGGTGGAAAACGAATCCGACTGAGTATAGGAATTTCTAAAAGGTAATGGATCAGTCATGTATTGATACAGGAATTAAAAGTACTCATTGGACATTGGTAGCTTCAACTTGTCGAAATGTGTTTCTTTCACTGTAATAGTGATATCACATATTTCATAACCAGTGTTCCCTTTAAGCTGTGTGGCAGCACAGCCAGTCAACTCCCTGTACAGAGCCCTTAGCCTTTGACTGGGCAGGGCTGATTAAATAGCTGCAGGGTTGTGCTGTGGTGCAGCATGGAGGGAACACTGTTCATGACCTAATGGATTTAGTTTTACGTTACTTCTACTTGGTGTTTCCTGTCTCTTATAATCATGAGAATACCAAAGCTTGGCTGATATCCTGGGGTAGTAATTTTGAAAAGCAACTAAGAGAGCACATGCTTAGCTTTGCTGCTAAAAGTAGTCCCACTGAAATCAGTGTGGCCAGTCATAATAAGCAAAGTTAAGCACATTGTAAGTCATTTCAAGATCAAGGCCTTAGGGAATAAATAAGATAATTTTTAATGAAAATAGCACAGGCTCTCTTAGAGTGATATGGTGAGATGAAGGAGGGTATGTCTACACTAGCCACCCTAGTTTGAACTAGGGTGGCTAATGTAGTCATTCAAACTTGCAAATGAAGCCCGGGATTAAAATATCCTGGGCTTTATTTGCATGTTCCCGGGCGCCGCCATTTTTAAACATCTGGTAGTTCGGACTCCCAGCCCGTGGCTACATGCGGCATGGACTAGGTAGTTCGAACTAAAGCCCCTAATTCGGACTACCGTTAACTCCTCCTGCAATGAGGAGTAACAGTAGTCCGAATTAGGAGCTTTAGTTCGAACTACCTAGCCCGTGCCACGTGTAGCTGCGGGCAGGCAGTCCAAACTACCAGGCATTTTAAAATGGAGGTGCCCGGGAACATGCAAATAAAGCCCGGGATATTTTAGTCCCGGGCTTCATTTGCAAGTTCGAATGACTACATTAGCCACCATAATTCGAACTAGGGTGGCTAGTGTAGACCTACCCAGAGCTCTCCTAAGCAGGCTGTCGTACAAAAGCCAAAAACATCCCAAATATGATATATAGAAAATTCACCAAATTCCATCAATGTGTTTTGCTTTCCAAAGATTCATGACTTTGAAACTCTTAACATGCAAGTGGGGGATGTGTACCACTCTTAAAGAGATTCCTTGTTCTGCCTCCTAAATACTCAGTTAATTATGGGTGCTTTTTGAGACAATCCCTATTTTCGCAGATTAGGTTTGGATAGGTTGATATCACATACTCAGTCATCCAGTACATGCATAAAATAGCATGTAACAGAGAAGGAAAGCTCCTGAACATACTTAAATTACTTTCCCTTCTGTTCCTGTTAATCAGTGGGAAATATCCAAAAATTAAGCTCCTTTTTCTCCTAGTTATATCCAGACCTTAAATACAGCCTCCTTCTCTTTAAAGGAGATAAATCTTCTAATTCAATTGGTCACTGACCACAAATGACCTGATAGCTAGATACCACTGTCTTCAAACTGTCAGGCTATGAACAAAATGTCTGTTTTTCCTTTTTGGTGCTCTGTCAGATACTCAAAACGAAACAATAAGGTCATGCCAAAAAAATTCTGTTTAATTTTTTTCTTTTCTTTTTGGTAAGACTGACTCGAATGTTCCGGTGTGTAATAACTGAGAAAAGATAACTTTAGTTTACGTATCCATTCCATTCTTTTGTTACTCTAGTACCATGGAGTCCAACATGCTATCCACTAGTCACATGTGATTATTTGACTGTTTGTGTGGCTAGTTCACTATAGCTTTAGCCACTATAGTGGCTGCTGCTTTCGAACTTGTTGGACACCACGGCTCTAGTAGCTGTTGTTAAAGTGTGAGTGCAGTTTTAGGTCCTATAGTGATATATATTTCTAGTGTTATTTTTAAAAAGGCACAGAAGTCAGATTGAATTTAGATTGAAACTTGGTTTTGTTTTACTTTTGGTTTATTTTAGTTTTGCTTTCTTGCCTAAGTTGCAGATCCTACAACAGGCTTTTGTGTGTGTGAGAGAGATCTATCAAAGTAAATGGAAACTTGAGTACAGGAGTCTGCTTTCACAGGGCCATATAGAACTGAGTATTAAATACAGAAAATCTGATTTTCTCTGGAATGTGCAGTTAGACCACCTGACTTCATAATATAGCGTATGTCTGGATATCAAATTAATGTAAAATAAGGAGTTTTTAATTTTTTCTGAAAAAAATTGTCAAAACTATTACTTTTTTTTCCCACTCTTCCCATAGTAAACTAGACTCCTTTTCAGAGGCTCAATGTTCTTTTGCTGCTTATTCCTCATTTCTCTGACTTGATAAATTGTTGTGGCAATGATTACCACAAACAGGATTGTAACTTCAGTTGGGAAAAACTTAGGCAGCTGCTGAATGTCAGACTAGTCTCACCATGCAAAACAAGTGCAGGTGGTGTGTGGGGGGGGAGGGTCCCAGAGGGAGGGAATTTGAGGTTTATTTCTAGTATGGGAAGGAGGGTCAGTGCTTCTTTAAAATGAGATCTGGGATCTCTTGGTGGTTTTTCTTTTTTTCTCCTGGAACAAAGATTTAATAATTAAAGTAGTTTTATATCGCAGCTGTACTTGATAGCTGTCTGACAAGCTAGTTAACCAATTTAGCAGAGCATTAGTTGCAGAAACTGTTTTTAAGCTGACACTAAAACTTACTTTAAAACAAATGGATAGAAGTAGTAATAGTTCAATGGATTCGGATTTTACACAGGATAGTAATTACTATTGGTTTTGGCAGAGGTGAGACTATTTACTTCTGTATAAACACAGATGAAAAGTATTGTGTGGTGATTTCTTCACCCTTTCATTTCTGGCAAATTTTCTGATAAATGTTCACCTTCGTAATTTTGTGTACAAATGCTTACTGAATTGTTTAATTTTAATATAAAATCAATTTTACATCCAGTCCTTAAATTCTAATTATACATTTTCTAAAATGTTTTTAGAATGAAAGCAGAATTCCAGCGGTATCAGTCTTATAACTATAATGATTATTGTCAAGATTATCAGAACTACTACTCACAGTGGGGTTATGATCCTTATGCTGAATACAACTATAGCTATCACTCCTATGACAACATGCATCCTATTGGGGACTCTGCTGTAGGAAACTCAATGCTGAATCCTGCTGTATTTGAGGTATTGATGTTATCTTCAATGTAAATTCAATAAGTTATTGCCAAAAATCTTAAAATGTGAAGTTAATTTTGCAGTTTATAATACAGAGCTATATGCCATTTTTCCACTTTGGTTTTACCATGGAAGCCATGTTTAAATCCTATAATAATGTGTAAAATGAGGACTAAATGCAGATAAAAAATCCAAACCATAATAAATTTCTGTAGTATTCATCCTCTAAATGTGTATGGTTTGTTTGCATTTTTGCTAAATGTGGCTCTAACAATATTATCTGTATGTAATTCTTTTATCCTAATAAGTCCATAACGCACATAGTTTAATTTTCTAGTTCTAAACTATAAAATTGTTTTGGTCTTGAATATGTTGGGGCAAAAGACCTATCTGGCTTCAAGATTAAGCTGGATGGGTTTATGAAGGGGATGGTTTGATGAGATAACATGATCTTGGTAACTAATTGACCATTCATTATCAGTGGTAAATAGGCCAATGGAGGGATGATAGGAGTTACTATAGAGAACTTTTCCTGGGTGTCTGGCTGGTGAGTCTTGCCCACATGCTCAGGGTTCAGCTGATCGCCATATTTGAGGTTGGGAAGGAATTTTCCTCCAGGGTATGATTGGCAGAGGCCCTGGAGGTTTTTTGCCTCCTCTGTAGCATGGGGCACAGATCACAGCTGGAGGATTGTCTGTATCTTGGGGTCTTTAAACTATTTGAAGACTTCAATATCGGTGAGAGGATTATTCCAGGAGTGGGTAGGTGAGATTCTGTGGCCTGTATTGTGCAGGGGGTCAGACTAGATGATCATAATGGTCCCTTCTGACCTTAAAGTCTATGAGTCTGTCTGTGTTTGAGAGGAAATGAATTGAAGTTGAAAAACACCATTTTTACTGCTTTTTAAGACTTTTTTTTTTTTCTTTTCCTTTTAATGAAGATGCATGACTACATTGAAAATCCTTTTTATCAGATAATGGTATGTGAAAATTACTGAAGAACCTGGAAGTAATTTTTATTACACTTCTATAACACTAACAAACATATTCTTGTTTGTTTCAGGAGACCTCAACTGTGGTTGAAATTAATGACGAACTAATAACTGAAGGTAATACTAGTGCTCTCATATATCCAGATTGTTTGGTTCTAACGATGTCTGGCTTTACAAAATTTCTACATAAAGTTGCTGACAAAGTAGCTGGTTCATGAATAGGGTTGCCAGGTGTCCGGTTTTGAACTGGACAGTCCAGTTTTTGAGCTTTTTGTTCGGGAAACAAATTGAGAAAATATATAAATGTCTGGTATTTACATCACAAGCTACATTACATCTTATTTAGAAATGTCAAGTGTGTCCGATACTCTTGTTGAAACCGTCTGGCAACTCTATTCATGAAGAATATCTATACAAATGTTTCATTTGCATTTCCAAATAAGGAATGCTAAATACTATCAGAGCTCAGCAAGTTCATAATATAATTTACATAGTATGTAAAATGAGGAGTTTTTGGCCTTGGAATTCTTTAAAACAGCTTTTTTCCTAACTTGCTCTTTTATGGAGATGTCTCGTTCCACAGTGCTAATTTTCATCCATGTGCTATTGTCCATCTCATAATTTTCTCTAGCTCTTTACAGTCTTGACTCTTCTACTGAGATTTTTAAAGCAGTTTTCATAAATCTTTGACATCTTGTTTAATACCAATACTGCCTAACCGATTCATATGCTAAAAAGCAAAAGAAACATCTGCTGTATTTTGCACAGAACTCCTCTCCTTCATCCCAAACAAAGTGGGATTCCCTACCATTCATCTAACCAGAATGGCACAGTAGGTAATGCCAGAGGGCTCTTTCCTTGCTTGAACTGCTGTTTATCATGATTGTCAGAACCTGACAGGTTCCAAAGTATTACTTGGATGTCTAAACTCCTTCAGCAACTTTTCATCCTCATGTGTGAGACATAGCTGTGTACTTGATATCTGGATATTAGAAAAGCATTTCCTTGCATTCGTTTTCCCTCCTTTTTAAATGTAGAGTGGTAATATTTCCAAGATTTGCAGTGATAGATATCTAATTTAGGTAAGACCTTCAAGTCTATGCAAGTTTGCATTAATAGAAAGTCCATTTGAAACATTTGTATAGATTTTTTTCATGAACCAGTACTACTGTCAGCAGTTCTCTGCAAGTTTGTTTCCAATGGGGAGTATGGGGTAGGGTTTTTTGACTGTTGAGGTGAAAAGTTTGGGATAACGAGTAACAGTAACCACATATCACTTGTGAAGCTCTTGCTTTTAATATTTGTGTGTCCCTATGTAGACCTCTTGTACTGGGTCCAATTTTATTTATTCATTGGGTTTATTTTTGCAGATCCACAGCTCCATCTGGATATTGATGAAATGAACAGACAATTTATGGAGAGAAGTGAAGAACTCTATGACTCCCTTATGAATTGTCATTGGCAGCCTCTGGATACGGTCACCTCTGAAATCCCTACTGCTTTCTAAAAGTGTCTTACATAAGTATATAGCATGACCGTTAAGACCAAGGTGCTAACATTACATTACTCTAGACCATAAGTTTTTAAGCACAAGGATGGGTTGTTGTTTTGCTAAGCTTTTGACAGCTTTTGTAATTTTTGTTCATCACGCTACTCATGAAGCATCTTGAAATCATGTAAATATTCTAGAAATGTAAAGAGTTGAATAGAATCTCAAGGTAGACTTGCTTGTGTAAATAAAATCTTGTTTCTGCAAACTTGTCAGTTGGGAATTTCACTTTCATATGTAGTTTATACAGTTTCTCTTTTGGATTTGCAGAATTCAAATGTTCTCCTTATTTCCATAACTTTCTAACTTTTTCTTTGGAACTGGTACTATACTATAGAAGGATATAGCTGGTGTGAACACTAGATCTAGTCCTAAAGAAAGATCTGAAAGTAAAATATGTTCACAGCTATATTTGTAAGATGATGTTGGCTCAATTAGCTATCAACCATCAGTCTTTGGGACTCCCATGATGGAGAACTCCTATAGCTCTTCAGCTTCCTGACACTGAAGGATTGCACTTGGCCAACCACTTGCTCCATTGGTGGTTTTTGTTTTTAATAACTAATTTAAGTTTAAAATTAAACTGATTTATCTTATGCAATGATATGCAGCTCTGGCAGTTAGCATCTGGCAATTCTGCCCACCTATTTAATATACTGTTTGTTGGTAGTCTACATCTCTTTCCACGGTGTTCAAAGATTTGTGGAAACCTTGCCAATATCCTTGTAATCTGACATCTATATTGGACTCTGTACATAGTAAACCATGTTGTGTCCTTATAATCCTAGTATGAAAATGCATTATTCTGTGCTTTTCTGTCCTCGCTGCATTTCTCTGTTGGCATGCAACTAAGTTACACTAAGTCAAATTTCAGTTAGGATTCCTTACACTTAAACTCTGTGCCAAGAGAGTGTACATTACCTATTAAAAGTTATAGAGAAACACCCTCTGGACTTAAATGTACTAATTCTCCCCGGCCCCTGTGTTTGGGGGAAGAACTGGAACTGAAGACCAAAGTTCTTAAGGAGCCACATGAACAGAAACTACTGTCACTACTATTTCTTGTCAATATTAAGGCTATGGAAGATACTATGGAGTCTTTTAACCAACAAAAGTAATCAGGACCTCATTTTTCACATCCTGATTCTAGCACCATCAATATGTTTGTCTTGTGCTAATGGGAAGGTCATTCTTGCTTGATGATGGTCTCTATTACAATTCACAGTGTGAGATTCATTAATCATGTACCATTACACATTTTTAATAGCTGTTAAATACAATGTGTGTTGAATCAGTGATTTTTTTTTTTAATGGTGCCAATATCCAGTCATTGAAAGCTAATCCCTTGTACTAGAGCCAAAGGTGAAATTAGTTCTCAAGATCAGGGATCTTAAAACTTAATTCTATGACTTGATTTGCATCCAACTGAAGTGCTGAATCATAGCTTTCTGATAATTTGTAACAAAATAAACAAAACAAAATCTGGGAGGAGATGCCTAAATGGCAAGCAGTGGGCCAGTCATTTAATCATGGAAAGGGTTCATATTGCTTCCCTTCCTTTCAGGGGCTGATAGGCGGGAGTTTGCAGATTTAACTTAGGGTAAGTCTACACTGCAACACTATTTTGAAATAACTAGTGCTATTCCAAAATAACTTAGTCCATGTCTATACAGCAGGCAGTTATTTCAAAAGTGTCAAAATACTGTCAAGCTGGAGGACTTACTCCAACTCCTGTAACCCTCATTGTAGGAGGAATAAGGGGAGTCAGAGGAAGAGTGCTCTGTTTTGAAATAAGTGCTGTGTAGACACTCGCTATTTTGAAATAAGATATGTAATTGACACAGCTCAATTTGCGTAGCTTATTTCGAGTCAAGTCCTGTTGTGTAGGTGCACCCTTAATGTGCTGTTTCTATACAGATCAATAATAGCAGGTAATAAAAACAGACTGCCAGGGGATTTGCAACAGTAATGTAATGGGTACATGCAGTCCCCAGCGCTTTGTATCCATCTTTTCCCACAGCTACTCAGCCTGCCCCTTGCCACCATTGTCTTTGTGGGTACTGACCAGCAATTTCTATTCCTTTCTCCTTATCCCTTGCTGCTGTGATGCTTTCCCAACCCTGCCACTGCTAGCCAGATAGGAGGCATCTTCCTGCCATGATCAATCAGACCTGCAGGAGCCTCCCTTACTCTCCTGCTGTTAAGCTGTGAGTGGAGCAGAACCGATAATGCAAAGGGCTTCCTGTGTGGCCGGGGCTGTGATGGCACATACAACCACTCTCTGAGTTGCGAACGGTCGAGTTATGACCGTTCGTACTTACGACCAAAGCTTCCATGGAGAGGTCATAAAGGTGGTCCCTGAGTTACGAACATGACCCGCGCTTACAAACAGCACGGTCACATGTAACTCAATGGGGTCTGAGTTACGAACAGATGGAGTTATGGCCAAGTGTTTGGTCTGTAACTCGGAGACTGTAGTGCCATTATCAGATGCCTTCCTGCTACTGCAAGCTCTTCACACCACCTGGTGTGAGCTCTCCCAGTCAACCCGTAATATGAAATTATTAGCTTTGCATCCAAACCCACAATCTGGGAACCCCTCAAATAGGGGACTGAAGGAGAAATTGGCAGCCAGAAGGGAGAGTGGATGGACTGCATGGGGGTGGGAGGGAGAGTTATTGGATCTGTGTGGGAAGGAGAAGGAAATGTGATGGGCTATGGGGAGCTAAGGGAATGTTGCAGGGGTTGGGGAGTGATGTATTTGTATGTATAGTCCCCTTGAAGCTTGATGGAGAAAGTTTGATAAGGATTTCAAGACCTTTGCAGCCTCTGTTTCTGACAACTGAATTCATTTTATTAGTATAGTTTGCTTGTGGTGTTGAGCTGTAGAACATGTGGCTTGAATTTTTGTACATTAGCAGCAGCTAACCCTATATCTCTGAAATAAAGGCTACTAGGGTCCTACTTCTATGAAGTTTGTAAGTCCCAGCTATGGTAGCTATGTGTCATTGCTAAACCTTGGTAGTCCATGCCCTGCAGTCCTCTGGGTCCCCTTCCACCCTGCATGATTTTCATTTGGGGCCAACAACCTCAATGTGAGTCCTGTAGTCTAGGAACTTCCAGATTGTGGGCCATGGCTCTAAGGTGGGCTGAGACACAATCCTGGGCCATTTGCTGGTGCAACTGCATTTTCCAATCAAGCTAGGAGTGTAGATTGTGGGGTCATGTAGGGGCATTACCCCTTCAAACTGCATCTTTCCACTCTTCTCCCAACTCTGGCCCATCTGGGCACATAGGCAGGGCAAGTGGATGGTGCTATCTTAGCCTTCACTGGGAAAGCAGATGGGGAAGCTCTTAAGGGCTGGAGTCATCAAGGGGGCTGAAAATTGAAGATGAGACCAGGTTAAGCCTCACTAACATATGTCCCCAGCTGGAAAAATCTGCAAGGAGAAGGCAGCACATCATCTCATTAAGAAGACTCCTGACCTGTAAGTTATTTTACATTTTTACTTACAACCTTTGATTCTTTTCTTAATAGAGAGTAGGGATGGGTCTTTACTTGCATAGTATAGAAACTTCAATTTTTACACTAAAAATTGAAAACATTTGTTCAAAGTGGGACAGCTAGTTGTTTCAAAAGCAACAAACACCACAAATGTGCTTTTTAACAATTTTGTTTAAATTGTGGTCTTGATTATTTTCAGTTTTATGCAAAATTGTTTTCCCTGTTAATTTAACTTCACACTCACATTTTAAGTGTAGTTTTATTATAACCGTTGAGTTTCAAAAGTTAAACATTTTGTTGTGCAGATTGCTAGAAATTTCTATCATTAAAATTGTTTACATCAAAACAAAGGAAACATGCACATTGTTTTATTTACTGTGAAATTTCTATGTATGTATAAACAAATTTCCTCAAGATGTGTAAATAGTGGAATGCAGTGCCTATTGCAGCTGCACAGGAGGGCTTCAGGGAAAAAAGTTTGGGATTCCCTAAGGTAGTCAACCTGACCTATGGTTTGAAGAATATTTTGCCCTTCTGAGGCAGGAGTAAGCCAGCTGGAAGACTTAGATTTACTACAATGCTCCGGCCTTTGATACCTAGGATACCTCCACATTCCATCCACAGCCAGAGAAGGGAACATCTTGGCCCCACAGGGACCACTGGTTCTATTATTCCCACTCCCTCATTGCAGGCCCTGCTAGAACTGGGGAAGAAGTCAGTCCTGCTTCTTCCCTGGATTAGGAGGCCTTGATTCTGGGGGGGGGGGCTTAGTTGATTTGCTGTTTACTTGGGCCTTATCTTTACTTACCAAGAGGTTGACTGCAGATATTGATCGCCTGGGAGTCAATTTAGGGCAGGGGTGGGGAACCTTGGGTCCTTCTGATGATCCATTTCATTAGGGTTAATTGCTGGCAGCCTGCAAGGTGGTTAGTTTACTGAGTGTCTGCAGGCATAGAGCCCTGCAGCAATCAGTTGATGTGATTCAATGTTCCTGGCCAATGGGAGGTGTGGGAAGTGGTGGCCTGGCTTGCAGGTGTAGTAAGGACATGCTAAATCGACCACTGATCATGCTCCTGTTGACTCCAATACTCCACTGGGTCATGAGGAGTAAGGGAAGTTGAGAGAGTTTTTCCTGTTGACTCTCCTCAGTGGGGATGCTGTGGTAAGTCAAATTAAAGTACGTTGACTCCAGCAATGCTGTTCACAGAGATGGAATTGCATACTTTAGTTTGACTTTGCCCACTAGTGTAGACCTGGCCTTAGGCTCTACAGGTTTTGCCCTGGGGCAGTGGCTACTGCTGCTCTTCCTTTTCAATTTGGTGAATTACTAACTGGCTGGAAAACTGTCCTGCACTTCTTGTGTTGGAAAGAGGAGCTGGGGTTGCTGTGGGGGAGTTCCCAGATGGCAGGAGGATGAGACTAGGGCTATTTTGGATTGGGACTTCTGAAGCATGTGCCTCTTTCCCCTCCCTCCATCTTGCCCCCCATGTTTAGCACTTAGCATCAGGGCAGGGAAGTGCCACTTCAAGGGCCTATATCTATTGTCCAGGAGCCCCTTGAAGCTACTTAGGGTCTCCTGCCCTGGAGCTGAGTGCACTGTGGGAAAGGAGAACATTGGGACTAGGTAGTGGACAGAACCAGGTGGAGGGAGAAGGAAGGCAGTGAATAGTTTCTTTGAAGGTGTGGCTTCTGCCCATGGCACCATGAGCTTCATGAAAGTACTGTCCATTAGGCCATTTGCCCCTTTCTCCCATTGTTTTGCAGAAGGCTCCTGTGATATGAAGGAGTGGCCCTAATCACCTTGTTTTCTTCTGATCCTTCCAGTAAGAGCAGTGCTAGGCATGCTAAGCACTGTATAAACACATTTGTCAGACAATCTTTGCCCCCCAAAATTATTTAATTTTATGATTATTAACTTATACTAGCAGTTGCTAAGGTCTTGGGTCAGCAAAAGTGCTATAACATAGTGGGCTACGTCTAGACTGGCATGATTTTCTGCAAATGCTTTTAACGGAAAAGTTTTCCATTAAAAGCATTTGCGGAAAAGAGCGTCTAGATTGGCATGGACCCTTTTCCGCAAAAGCACTTTTTGCGGAAAAGCGTTCATGCCACTCTAGATGCGTGTTTGCGCAAAAAAGCCCCAATCACTATTTTCACGATGGGGGTTTTTTGTGCAAAACAAATTTGAGCTGTCTACATTGGCCCTTTTGCGCAAAAGGACTTTTGCCCGAACAGGAGCAGCATAGTATTTCCACAAGAAGCACTGATTTCTTACAT